GCTTAGACGTTTCAAAGAACACTTTCTTTCTTAGCCGTTATTTTATGAATGGAAAATGTGCAACATAGATAGTGTACGATATAATTCCCAGTAGAGTTTTCGGAACGCTTCTGGTAGTTAATAGTTCTGCAGTGTACACAACGGAATTATTAATAGTACTACGTTTGTTTGTTAATAGGTGGCGGATGATTGCACGCGCATCTTGTACTCTTTTAGTAGTTATAGAACTGATGATATATCGGGAAAATCATTATGACAAATGGCAATGCTGCACAAGATATAAAAAAATAATATAAGCTTCTGCTACAACATAATGTTTAGGTATTATGTATTTTCAAACCCATTGAGGTCAAAATAATTTACCTCTAAATATAAAAAATACTGGATTCATAATAAACGGTTAATTATTACGTAATAACGTAACTCTGCGTAATACATATTCATGTTAAATAATCAAAACCCTGTATAATATTCGACTACAAAACGAATGGCTGCTACAAAGGTTCGTACAATAAAACTCATTATAAGAGCTTAAACAGAATGGACAAAGTGTAAAAAACATTCCGAGTGATCCCAAGAGCAATGTGTCCATAAAAGAGCCTTTTGTTTTACAAATATTTATACAGAGTAATGCAATCTGCTGGTTCGCTATAAATCAATAGCATGTATGTAAATCATTGATTGCTGTATTCCGTACAGAGGAGAATGGGTATCTCTACTCGAAAATATTACCGCATAAATCAATTCGAGCGGACAAGCAAGATAGTCTCGCCGATTGTATTGACCATCTGATTCCTTGCGTCCATTACATAATGGACTTATAAAGACTGTTAAGGATCATGGAAATGTACGTCCAGTTGTATATTGTAAGAGCATAGGCCCGTTTGAGTTATATGCCAAGTTTTGATAGGCTATTTTCCTCTTTATTGTGTGTTTATCTTTGAAATGTGTGTTGGGCGTGCCAGTGTTATGAATGGAACTTTTTGTTGAACGCAGATAATTGAGATGTTAACAGAAATAGTTTGAGAGTTACACACTATAGACAGGGAAAGTATAATAATAATAATTTATAGTATCGGAAGCATTGTAGACGCACCATTCGATGTAAGGTACTATTAGACATGCTAATTTCAATCACGAAAGCATGCTTTAATTGAGCTCTTGTCACTTAATAGCATGTGTATCTGAATGTTGGTCAAAATTAGCGTGTTCATTTCAAGCAGGTTTAGCATGCGAATCGTCAGGCGTTCGATTTTTGAACATTTTTGAGAATGCTCAATAAAACGCCTTCCCGCTGGAAGCTGCTATTTTAGAGCATGTTTAACAATACCTTTATAAATTAGCAATTGTTTTGCCTGACACTGATATAGATTAGTAGAAATAAAACGTGAATCATAGAGGATAAATAAATGACAACTGGATTAAACAGTGTAATTCCATTGTGCAATCTTATCATTCACCATTTGTAATTATGATTCATTAATAAAATTATATAAATCAGAATCATGTACGTTACATTTTATGGAGGATTTATTTAATACCAATTAGTGAAAAACATGATAGTTCGACTGAAATTACTTCTGACGTGAATTGAAATAAATAATGGGACGTGCATGTCTGAATCGCATGTCAAATTAGCGTATTATGTTATCTTATCATTAAGTACTTGAATGTTTTATTGTTTACGTTGGTTCGAACAGAGGTAATGTTGTGTTTCAAGTCAATGAGACTAAAAGATCTGTTGAAGGCAATCTTTATGCTGTAGTTTGTTTTAAAGAGCTCGATTGAGTCAGTGTAATCATGGGTAGCCTGTAGGTTAATATTGAAATGATAAAATAAATGAAAAAACATACCTTCAGGGAGTGACATAGGTTCCTTATATTAAGTCGACATTACTGTAGAATACAACCTATAAGAAACGGGTCTTTTAAATTCGAGGGTAAAGTTGCAAGCAGCAAACTAATATTAAAGAATTTATATTATTGAAATTCTACAAGTATTCTACATTTATTTGAAAATATTTCGAAATAAATGCATCTTGTTATTCTAGCTGGAACGTAACAGTATAATGACGTCCTCAAATTAAAGTCGGTACTTAAAATAAATGCTGTATTCTACCATAAGTTTTATTATTTTAATGGTAACGTCAGTTTACTGTGCTGTAAGATTCTTTGACGTCATAATAATATTTTATTTATGTTTGTAGTATTTTAAATTAAATAAGATATAAAAGCAAATGATGTAAAGCAGGTTTTAGGTTTTTTTACAATATAGATTTTATAGTCAGTCAAAGCGAACTACTAACTGAACTGAACTTTGTGCGATGTTAGAGTTGAAGTCGTTTCATAGAATGCATTAAAATTTGTCTCGTACTTTTCTTGTTAATTATTGTTTTTAATGTTACTATTCAAGCCGAAAATAAATTCACTCCTTCAAGCGTTCCCAAGGTCTTGGTGGCGAAGGTAATGAAAGATACTCTACCTAATTTCATTCAGAATAAAATTTATTATGATTCAATTCATGGACATTTGTTTTAAAACATACAATTTATTGTCTGTTAAACTTTAATTATGTTTATTTTATATCCTCGTGTGTCGCGCACGTGTAGGTAATCTCAAACCATGACAATTATTTCCTTAATAATGCTACTAGATGGCGTTAGTCGTGAAATATAATTTAATCATTATCTCAATGTATAAAGTTATCTATTACATTGTTATACCTACTGATAAAAATAATAACGCTATACTGTCATTATTATTTATTGGTCTACATTGATAATTAAGCTTAAGTATTTTTGTGATAAATTAGTTCATAATATAGAAAATAGATGGCATTAGTAGTTTTACATTTGTCTTTGAACAAAAATAAATACCTAACTTAATTCTTCGATAATCATTATTTCACGGGTTGCATGTTAACATTTTGCTACAAAATTTTCTATAGTTTTAATAATGTTCCTGGAATAGCTCACGATTTTTACTTTTTGCCATGCATCCTGTTTAGAAAGAGTAATAGCTTTCTTACAAAATATGAACGCTTTTAATGACGTGGTTAGTTTATTAGGTGTTAGCTAAGCTGAAATGCACTAGGTTTTTAGTATAGGTTTCTATACTAAAAACCTAGTGCATTTTTATAACGGATCTTCCATAAAATAAAAAACTTCTATTCATTTTTGAGAAAAGTGCCCACTACAAATTTTTGCGAAGATAAATTAATAAAAGTCTTCTGGCTTTTGTTCTGACAATACTTATCACACATATTATTATCTCCCTAGTTCCTTACAAAGTAGTTTTTAACACAAAAAAATAGATCAATTTTATATTTTTGAATGAGTTATAACAGCTAATAGGACGCACTACAAACTACTGAAAAATAAACACCCTATGCACATTTTCAAAATCATCAACAGCCTATAAATGCCCACTGCTGAGCAAAGCCTCTTCTCACACGGAGAAGGTTAGAGCATTAATCACCACGCTTGCTCAATGCGGGTTGGCGATTTCAAACTTATAATTAGAAATTATAAGTCAAATTCAAAATGGCCGACCACAATTAACGACGAAGACGAAAGATTTAAATCCAGCCAGTTCTCCGTTTGCCGTACAACTACCTCGAAGCATGTTGGATGCAGATCCACACGTACATAATTAGAGTTCCGTGTCTGACATGTCAAATGCAAATCCATAGTCACTTAGTTTGTGGGTCTGAGTGATTAACACCCGTCGCCTGGAATGGGGAACAAGCTGGCGTAAATGGAAAATAGAGCGACCCTATACGATAGTTTTCGTTTGTTTGTATTGATTTAAGTAGGTACTAGAATAATTATTATAATAAACTATCAAGGTCTTCTGTGGTTCGAAACTAGTAGCGCTTTTCTCAGTATATTCACGTGAGTAACCCGCGATTTTACTTAGTCCAAATACTTCTTTTTAAACATAGTTTATAAAACTATGTTTAAAAATTCGACTTCAACCCCGGGGCTATTATTTGGAAGTCGGTTAAACCTTTTCCTATGTATAACAAAAACTTTTCTGAAACCTGCATTAAAATCGGTTCAGCCAATCGCGAGATATTCGCGCACAAACTGACACCTCCTTCTGACTTTAATCGAAACTATACTGATATGAAATATATATTTTGTCAAAAAAGAGGGGGATTACATTTGATCTCTGATGATGTTAAAGTTTATGTTGTGTGTCCTTCTCTCTATATTTATTTGTAACTACAAGTACTATAGATACAATATGCTCACCCCCTATTACATGGGACTCATAACATAAATAGTGGAAAGTGGGTGTTACATTGTACAGTGTCATAATGTACACCTCTGTCTACCCCTTGGGGGATAAAAGGCGATAATGTTATGTATGTACAAGTACTATCATACATTTTAGAATGATTTCTGTGTGAGTTATTTTCCATATCATTTTCAATAGATGCATATTATGAATGTTTTAATTCAGATCTCATCAAACAAATGATACAAAATTCTGTAATCAGATCCGACTCATACAGATGAAATATTGAACTGCGCTAATTATTTTTAATCGATATCATTTCATTAATTTAAATGCAATAACTGTTATACATGTTTATATTATTTTGCTGGAAAATTAATTTCAAGCATTATTATTACATTTGTTAATGAAGTACCTGCCTCACTATATATCGAGTTTTAAAAAGATACATTATGATAATTTTAATATTAAAATAATATAGAAAAATAAAGCTAACTAAAATCGCGGGTTACTCACGTGAATAAACTGAGAAAAGCTCTACTAGTTTCGAACCACAGAGGGGTTCTTCCTTATGATAGTGTGCGCGGTCGCGGCGACGTCGCTCAGCTCACTGGACCTAACCCGCGATTTTAGTTAATTTAGTATGTCTCACGATAGTTATTATAAAAAATAAACCTGTTCCTGGTAATCGTCTGAAGCCTCGAAACTCTCTAATTGTAGATACCAAACAATATCTAAAATTATATTTTCTTGTTACAGCAATATGTTCCTTGAAGCAGTTCCAGTGTACCAACGGCAAGTGCATACCCAGCATGTGGGTTTGCGATTTGGAAAAAGACTGCGAAGACAACTCCGATGAAGAAATTGAAGAATGCAAAAAAGGTTAGTCTCAATTACCCCTTTCACAAAATCAACCAATGACTTCGGTTAGGCAAGACTTTAGTTATTAGTTAACAACGGAGTAGTTTTTAGCCAGTAAGAGTGTCAGACTCTTACTGGCTAAAAACTACTCCGTTCCTACTCCTGCTCTTCGAGCTGGAGCTTCGGCAACCCATTAGGATTTCCGCGGCTCATTTACTTAATTTATTATATATTCATACTTGTCTAAAACTCTTTGGATATAGGTGCAAGATACTCTTTTTTATCAAACACCAACAATTTATTCAACATTTTCTGCATTTTCTAAACTTAAATCTGATGATCACTACTGATGTTCCCAAAAGAGGAAATATTACAGTTTTCAAGCCTCCTTGTCGAAGAATACGTAGTGGAATCACGAGCTATAAAGTTCTACGAATGTATGTGAAATTGACATCTTTGTGGGCCCAGTAACAGATCACGGTAAAGGCAAACTTTATGGCATGGGGGAATGGAATGAATCACCGCTCTGTTAGGGAATTTTGAGTTGGAATTATGGAGATATCAATAGTGAATTTTATGGTAATCCTCTTCAATCACAATGTGCATGGAAGGCCTCGTAAAACTAAATTTGGTATTGCTTGATATGTTAAATCAATATAGGTATAGCTACAATCTTTATGCCTAATCAAGAAACTAGCAATATATCCAACTACGTTTATTGGACTTAAGTCTTCATCAGAGTAAGTACTAAGAAACTCATTAAAGGTAAAATTAGAATATTTCATGTAGGCACGCTATCGATCAATCAATAAACATAGCAACCTTGGAGTTGAGAGTTAAATATTATATTTTTGATAACGCCAAATTCCTGTGTGGCGAACATAATGTGGATATTTCGGAGAATTCAGTGTGCGTTGAACGTTCATCATTAAAAATAACCTTCCGTTCTTTTGCCTTTTTGCTTCTTATCAAGGCATATTTGAACATAGCCGCTTACAACAGCAGTCTAAAAATAATTGCAATATTTCTCTCATATTTTCCTTCATAGCACATTCCAAGCGCAACATAGTAAGCAGTTTAACTTTAGTTTATTAGGAAAACAATGCATTGTTATTAATTCTTGTGAGTATTTCATTTACATCGGTATTTATAGAGTACTAAAGACCACCTAAATGGCTAAAGGTGGTATAATTGGCCCAGATATCCATTTACGCATTAACGTTGAGGTCCATACGATATCCTCTTGAACAATGCCAAAGGTATCTTGTATCGGCGACCTTTTAATATTTCGAACAAATAGCCTCAGTGAATTGACGGCTTTTCCCTAATTTTAGTTCGATTCATCTCTCAATTTAATTTCCATAAGCAATTTACAAGACGGCAAAATCAATACTTCGCAGCTTTTTGTGTAGGACGTAAGTCGTGATGTAATTAAATAAATGTATTTATAATAAAAACACGCCATGACAGTTTTTCTATTAAGGTGTCTGAATTGTTTTTACATGCTCAGTAACGTCAATAGGCTTATTACAATGGTAACTCTATTACCACGGGGCATTAGCAAACACGTAAAGTTATAGAAAAATTGTAAGAAAAAAATGTCGCCTTTGCGTCTTAAAATATTTGTAAAACGTTTGTCTAAGTGATTGGTTGCTGAGCAAATCGCTTTGGAGATTTTCTCCCATAAGTGAAGACCTTCTTTGATAAGATAGTCATTGTTAGAGTCCAGATTATGTTGTAGGTAGACGTAAGAAATTTGGAAGTATTTTAACACATCCAGAATAAAGGAGAAGGTACTAAAGATGGGGCAACAGTTTTTAAAGAAATGCCCAAATATAATTTAATTACGTAGTTACGAGCCAAGATATAACTTACGGCTTTTAATATAAGTAATATATGTTGTCCAGAATGGTTAATGTTTTGTAATGAATAAAGCTAACATAAACCCAAGTCATAACTTTTACGTTAAGAATTACGAGCAAAAGTTACCTTAAGTCGCACAACTATTATTTAAGCTGTTAATCCTATACTTTTTCCTTCTTAGGACCCATAACAGAGTAAAAGGTGTTGTTTTGTTATAAATTTGTTATCTATTAGATAAGATTATATAGGTCGACACGTGTGGCAGTTTCTTGAACTTGAACAAATTGTACATTGACAAGTAATAACATGATAATGTCAGTCAATCAGCATTAGACCTATTTTCGTTAGGACCTTGAAAGCCATGTTTTTGTAAAACTTTTTAATCTAGACACGTCCTAGAAATTTATAAAGCATTACAGACCCTATACGTGATACATTAAAGCTCCTTTTACGTAAAATAGCAACATTAAGATATGACATATTAAGACATATGTAACGGATATGTTCCATCATAATGTGTGGGTAATACATTCCATAAGTATTGTAGTTTTGTCCGATCATTTATATCGTGAATTGGCCCTGAGTGTCGACACCTTATTATCAATCTGTATCAATTTATTAGTGGTTGATTGCAAGCGCCCACGTGATTGGTTGGGCTTCCTTTATTGATGAGAAATGACTTGCCCCGTCTTGATGGCGCCAGTAGACAATGATCACTGCGCATGTGTAGTCCCTTAATAACCTATGACAGTTTTTATATTAGCCGCTTGTTATAGTGGCATGACATGTGTTTTTTAGTTAGTAGCTATAATTGCCGCATGATCGTATGATTGTAAAAAACAAAAGATTTTCAAAGATAAATAAATGTTGCTTGTAGTAGTAATTAGTGTTAAAACCAATCTAATTGTTTAAGAAAAACATTTTGAGGTCATAAAGGAGCATTCTTCATAATTCTTTAACTAAACATCCATTAGCTGAGAACAATCACTATGTACTCCACCCTATACTTTTATTCGCAAACTAAAATGATACACAAGAATCTGTAAAATTATTCATAAACAATCCAAAATGGCGGAACACACGCTCAGACACGCTCCTTTGATTAGCATTTTTGATTACAATGTAACGACGTTCAATAAAGAGCAACATTAGGCCGATTACATGGGCCAAACACACTTAGCGAGTCAAAATATAAATGGTACTGTGGAACATTTGCTCTGTGGGAGGTATTAGTATTCTCACACTCAAAGTTACCTCAACAAACGCCACTCTGGTTTCATTTCTCGTTATCTTTATTCAAAGTAATTTTCTCAGTGGCGACCGAACCACGTCCCGTATTTCTGTTTCCTTCAGCGTCAAATTTTATCTATAACTCAGCAATGGATAGAACTAACTAATATTTTTGTGGCTTTGAAAATATCTGGATGAAAATGGGATTTAGTTTGGTGATTTCTTTGGGAATTATATTGATGTGAAAATATGGTTTTTTAACTGTTGTGTTAGGGATGTTATTGAGTAGGCTTGACACTTTTGCTTTAAAAGAACATAAGTTTGATAACAGAATGAACCTTTACGATGAGAGAAGTAATAATAAAATTAAAACTGGGTGTGGAAATGGGTTATAATAATCAAACCACATTCCTACTTCAATAAAACTAAAAGGCACTTTTAAAAGTCAAACATTAAATACATTATTCTCACTTCAACAAGTTTCTACCTAGAAGAACAAACTTACATTACTTGTAGAAGAGAACAACGATATTGTAATACAACAAAGATATTTGCGATGCTCCCAAAGGAACATCCTGTGATATTAAACAATTACCAACAAAAACTTGCTACAAAATCCCACTGGCAACCAAAATGCTTTTAAAATTCTAGCCGTAAGAGATTTAAAAATAAAACCTTTATCCCTATTATTGTCGAACTACAGTTTGATTTTATTCACAGACTAGGTCAGCGGTAAAGCTCAGACCGCACTCTGACCTTTGGGATTAATATTACATTTAGGGCTTCGCCTCCCAGCCTCTAGAAACTATTTGTATTTAGTTGAAACCTAAGAAATAACAGAAAATTGCTTAAAATATTTCTATACATAACGAAATAAGTAGCTAAATAGAATTTCTTTTCAAAGCGCTTACCTTTTACACTCTCATACATCTTGTATGGTATAAAAACTATATCATGTACTCATATTAAGACGTAAAAACCTCTAAGACAACATATTCATTATTTTTACAAAGATAAAACCCCACTTCATCAAAGGAGCTGCCAAAGGTATAGAAAGAGATAGATAATAAGAAAAGATAACGTGCGAAAACGGGACGAAGTGAATTCTATTAACACTGTGTTTAACATTACAATATATCCAGTCTGTATTTGCGTTCATTCTATTTACTCGTGTTAAGAAGAAGTTGCTCCTTCAAAGGTAGCCATAATACCTTCATTTAGCGCTAGTAACAATGTTCTATTCAGTTTACGAGGCGCCCTTTATGCAGGCACCGACGAAACTCTTGGTTCTGTCGTCAACCTTATCTCTCCTTTTCCAAAGAGCCGTTTGTCTTAAATTACAAAGAAAATCATTAATCATTCTTCAACCAATTTTCTTTAGTCACATTGATGTCAATTTATATTTTCAGTGAATCAGTTTGTTTATCTAATTCATCTTGGCGATTCCCTGAAGTAATTAACTAACTTGCGAAAGAACTGCTAAACAAAGTAGACGAGATAAAATTACGTACGTATTCGCTTTTAATCTGTTATACAGTGTATTGTTACGCTTTCATGATTTATTATTTTCGTCCTCTGTGACATGGGTCGAGTTTGCTTTTTGCTAGGCTGCGGCAATCTATCAGAAAAGGTTATGACTTGGCAATCCGTATTTATATCGAAGTTTTGTTGGACTTCACTCCTAAAATAATTCCGAACCCTCGACTCGTGAGGTTGCAAAAGTCTATAGATTGAATTCATTTTTAGTAATGCATGAACTGGGACATGTCACTGGTTCACATTACTAAAATATATACTTTATGTAATAACCAAGGCAGTAGAATATTTGAAGATCTCTTGGATTTTACAGTTTCAAAATTAAATAAATAAAAAGTCTCGTTGTTTGGGTGAAAATGGAACATGTGAACAACTTAAAGGTTTCGTGATTGTTACTGGGTACTAGAATTGTGGCGGTGCTTACTAGGTCACCGCTCAACTTATTTCCTCTGACGGAGATGCACGGCAGGCAAGCACCGTCATATATTTTGTGTATTATATGGACAAGCTCGCTAAAATATATGAACAAATATTTTCTCGGGGATGTTTTTAGGCAGATATGTAGATTTTACAAAGTGCAAAGTTAAACAGAAATGAAACGAAGCCTACAAAAGGCAGGAAACATTTAACAATCTCTACCTTGCTCGCTCGAGTACTTACGTATATAAAACAGTATTAATTCAGTTTATATGAAATGTTCGCATAATATTTCCCTTCCGTATATCTAGAACGTTATCTTCTATTCCTCAGATCCGAGGAAATAATTTCCTATTGCGAACATGCGTATATTTTCACAAGAAACTCTCATTAAATTGTGCGTAACTTGGTATTTGAGTTTTCATAGCTTATGTGAGTTTTAAATTAGCCGGGATGTCAATGAATATTTATCAACTTGTTATGATGTAATTACGTGTCGAACAAACTCGACAACATTTCGTAGAAACAGACAATTTGAGTTTTTGATTCCGCCGAGCAATTTATTTTGGGGAATTTCTTAAGAATTTCGTTTGAAAAGTCGTAAAGTTAGCAGTTACAGTTAATTGTCATTATTTTGATGACGGTTTCAGGGAGTCGTGTCTTTGCAATTTGGCATAATTTTTTACTGGGTTTCATTTCTTTTTTAATTTTCGAAACTTAATTAACGTAAGTACCTACATCTGCATTAAATTTAAGTACAAATTTTGTTGGGGTTTTTTTTAAACAACTCACCGCTCATTAGGGTTAAATGACAAGGTCTGTTTTTGTATGTCAAGAACATACAATTTGTATAGTTTCTACAAAAAGTTTAAGTATGTAAATGCGTTTCTTTGACTACACACTTCTTACCAATGTTTACAATACAATCAGCTTTACACGTGTAATCATAACGTTACTCATAATAACAATGATTAGACTGTCAAAATAAACTATGAATAAATATCTTTGACATAAAATAAACACTAAATTATATGAAATATTTCACTACGGACTGTGAAAATGCTTTGTCTCGGGTTTAGCGACAGATGGTGACACATTCGATATTTTCTAGTTGATAGGTATAAGTGGGTGGGTGTTGTTGTTTCGAAATCTGGTCACGCACACACCTCAATAGGCCGGTGGAAAATTGTGCGTACATCTACACTATTCATGAATGACGACAGACTGCCACGGACATTTTGTTACATTATACAGGCCAGGTTATTTGCTAGGTATGTCCGAAAAGTGTGGGAAAGCGTCCGGAAAGTTAAGTGTGGGAGAGCCATGCTTCGGCACGAATGGGCCGGCTCGACCGGAGTGATATCACGGCCTCACAGAAAACCGACGTAAAACGACACTTGCGTTTAGTTTCGTCATGTGAGTGATGTTATCGGTGGTCCAATTGCCCACCCCTTCCTTTCCCAATCCCTGAATCTCCAACAATCTTCAAATTCCTACCCCCAAAAGGCTGGCAACGCACTTGTAACGCCGCTGGTGTTCCAGGTGTTCATGATGAGCGACGCCGATTGCTTACTATCAGGTGATCCGTCTGCTCGTTTACCAGCTTATCCCATAAAGAAGAAAACGGTCTAGGTACGCAAAACCAGTATAAACCGACCGTTAAATGTGCGGAAAGATCATACAAAACGGGACTATGATAAAATGGTTTTGTATAACTTGATGTGGTGCCGTGCGTATACACAATACATACTTATTCAGTAGTCTAATATGTAAATGAATATTTTATGAAAAGGATCGTTTTTGTGTAAAATATCCCTTTGACTACACTGAATCTGCATTGAATCCAATTTTGATTATTTGAACGTGATTACTGAGCTGTTGGTTTAATAATATTTGAAACGTGCTTTTCAAAGGAGTCGATTGTAGAATTTTGATTATTCAGTCTCCTTTGATCTCTAATACGCTTACAAATATTGTTACTAAGAAACAGAAAGCAATATCACGCTTATATTTGCTTAAAGGGTTGCAAAGGACATTTGACTATCCACTTTACATCACTTATTTAATTACACCCTTCAAAATGAAAATGTGTTATATAAATAAGCTCATTATTTACTTACACATAAAGACTATTATACGAGAGCAATAGCATCAACTTTCAACATAGATATAATTTTTTCTACTAAGAAAAACAACCAAGCAAATGTATCACAAGATTCCCAGGAGACAGACAACGAAAAAGAACAAAAACAAGAACGAAATAAATCCGTCTTAGAAACAGAAAAATCTCAGGTAAAATTCCAAATATAGAGAGTTAAATACAATTTCTAAATGGCAATGAAAATCCTTTGTCAGATATGTCCAAGGGAAAATATCACGATAACCAGGAGGACTTAGGAGCTGAAATGTCGTGGCAAAACGTCAAAGGGTGAAGGGTAACCTCAAAGAGATGCGACAGTATCTGTGTGGCCGTATTGCTCCTACGTTGAGTGAGGTAGTCCATTGATTTAGTGAAATGACAGCTTTCGAATATCAATCCACCTTTATGCTGCGGTAGTGTTAAATTATCTAGACTGGAACGTGGTGTGAAGAGTTCTCTGTCTTTGTTTGTCTGTTTGCTTACTCCCTTGTTTGGTTGAATGTTGTTATCTCTGAAATTGATCGTCTGATGATGCAAAGCTTGCATTATGTAGCATTAGTATTGAGTTGTTTCTCGTTTCCTATTCAACAACATGGTTAAGTTATTAAAAGCAACATATTTCGTTTCACAAAATAATATAGATTTGTCACACTTAAAACAAAATTCAGGATTAGTTCTAAATTATGATTTTCTAAAAATATTATTACAACGAATTTCTGTCCTTCAGGTAAGATGACAAAGACAGGCGGCTTAAAATTGATTCGCGTTCTTAGTAAAACTCTGTTTTATATCGTCTGTCTTAAATTCTAAGGATTGGCGTTCTTAGAAAAAAATTCTATCGCTTACTAGTCGATTTCTATATAATACATTTGTACATAATACATAATATAGCATAATATGTAGCGTGGCTTGTAATTAAATAGCATATGAGGAAGCCTGACATGGCTGATATTATAGGTAATGGAAGTAATCTACTATAGGTAAGTACGCTTATAGATCTTAGTCGAGTTAGCAACATCAAACACTATGTTAGTTCAGACTTCAAGATCAAATATCACAGTCAAGCTTAACAACCTAAACTACACTCCATTTTGTGAAAGAGGTATGTGTTAATTTCACATTATGTTTGCCAAGTAGGTTTTAAATACTTTAAGGCGTTTTACTGTCATCACAGTTCAACGTTCCCACACACGCAAATGTAAGTAACACTCGGTACTTGTGAGGTTAAAAGACGCATTATACGAGGTATCTTATTATTCTCTTATGTATTTACCAACGCTTACATAATGTGTATACTTTGAAAGGAGAAATTGTACACACAGAGTATTTCTACACATAAATACCTGAAATTACAGTACCGTAAAATGATTATACTGTGTCAGGCTTACTGTGAATTTTATGCGCCATTAACTGTCGTTTGTGGCCACGTCAGCTTTATATAAAGTGACAACCCTTTCCGAGGACAGGACATTGAACGGCAGACAACATTAGCTTTTATGTTATGGGAAATAAGAACGAAAATTCTTTCGAAATACCGCTTTAAATATATGAGTTGCTTCCTTCCAATACAGCTTTGGCGAGGTGAGGCACCTACAAGTAATGAGGCAGAAAGTAAGCACTTCTGTGGTCGATGCGGTCAGCACTCACCTATTACCAAAGAAAAATGAACGTAATTTATTAGGGACTTGATTAAAAGTTAAAGAGAGTCTTTGTTCTTCTCATTTTTCCTGTTTTCTAATTTTCCTGCTACATATTTTTGCTTCATACCAATCTGAAATTAATTTACTGAAAAAACTTTGCGTAAATCGTTGGAACTGAAGGCATGAATATTTACACGAGAAAAAAATTTACAACGAAAATGACCTTAAGAAAATCTATTTCATAACAAAATTACAAGTAAAATTATATTACCTACAACCAACACTTTATCAAATCACCCTGTGCAATACTCGGATTAAAGGCACCACAGCAGTATTATTCTACGATTTCAAATTCTAACTATTGTTTCATAGCTCTTTAATTAATTACGGAATAGCTTTGCATTGGGTTTAATTCCTAATGCAATATGCACAATGCAGGAATCAGACATAAACGATACTAGACTGGAATTAATTTGGATAGTGATAATATCGTAGTGTGCTCGCCCAAGCGATAGGGATAGGCTTTGCTTGATACAATAGGAGCCACCTCTATATGGAATTAATCTGCGTAGAACATTACGTGTGTACCATCTATACATTGGTACCTATAAGTTCCTGTAATACTGTTCCTTTGAGTGTTTATTGGCTACATAGCGGGGAAATGCAACGGCTTTCCACTAAAGGAAACTAATGAATGTTTGTTTTTTTGGAGAGAGATAATGGTCATAAAATGTATAGATTGACAGGAATGATAGATAATAATATCAAATCTGATGTAACATGACTGCGTGTAACATAGTAAACTTAATTGTATTTTAGATAAATGTTTGATATCATAGATGTACTCGGAATTGTAAATCCTAGATTGAGGAATATGCTTGAGCGGTAGCATATCGATTATATATCAACTTCTCAAGTTACTCCTGATAATCAAGCTTGTACTAAATGACTGGTGAAGCATATTTTATGAGCTAACGGAAACTGTTCTGTCGGTGTAATTGTAAAAAATGGTAAATAATAAACTGATGATATTTTGAACATGATACGCATTTACATTAGCACCCAAACGACAAACGAGAACTAAGTATGATAAAATTACAAAATAATATTGAAATTTTGTGTAACCTTTCCGTTCTAAGAATAACTACGGTTATTCTAAAACTATTTATTGACCTTCTGTAAATATTTGGAATTCTCCGCCTCACTGCCAACAAAAATATTTTCATCAGTGAATTTCAACTTAATAATATTTTCCAAACTTGCCATAACCATTCAGAAAATATGTACTTAGGACTCTGGGAACAAGACTTGTGGAATACGCAAATTGTATCAAAATATGAACTATAATTCTGACCTATTATTTCACAAGGTTTTATTAAAGCGCTAAACAAATATACCTATAATTAACATTGATATAATGATAATTAAACAGACTGACAGAATAATTACAAATGTAAACAGCGTCGGACTTCAATGTAAACTCGTATATTTTGTAAAAGTTTACTCACAGCATGCGCTATTTACATAGAACAATAAAATAAAAGATTTAGATGAGTTCTAAAAGTTAGTGACACAGAACAATTTCAACAGTATTACGCAGTATTAAGTTGATCGACAATGTAAAGAAAGATCTTGACGGTTGACGGGAATTGATCCCATCTAGTCAGGCTTTATGTCAGTTGGAGCTTTCCGATTTGTCGGCGCACCAAGGTTATTTCAAAATTATTGGCGCACTATAAAGAAGTTGGAATAATCAGTGCTAGCCCCGATTCCCGAAAATCCATAAAAGACAAACCAATCTTCGACATTACCGAGATGAAGGGTAGTAATTGCCGCCATAAACTGTGGTGTCCCCTCAACTGCTAGCGGCCGATATTAAATTTTAGTGCTTTCCCAAGTTTTTGGCCTTAAATCCTTATCGATTCCTTTGTCCTTTACATTTATTTTTAAACTCGATTCCTCAGAGTGGCTCAAGCTATTAACGAGATTAACGTCGGTGGCTTTAAAATATTACTACACTTAGTATGTAATAATCGATTCCGAACAGCGCGGAAGAATCGATCATCGTGATTATGATTTATGTTTCTATTAAATAGATAAGTGTGCAGTACTTGGGAGCCAGTGGATGCAAGTCGCTTCCAGATGTAAGTCATTGACGAAATTTACCTACATTCAACAGTTAACGTTTTGTTGCTGACATGATGACGGATAGTTGGTTTGTTTCTAACGCCAAATAGAATCGTTAAACAAATTGTAGGTACCTACATAATCTGTCGGGCAACCATTTTCCGTCTGCGAACTCAATAATGGCAAAGCAGCCATAAATAATTAAAGAGCGTTTCCAACGTTTTATTTCGATTTAACTTTATAAACGTTAATGAAAATCGTAGCCGAATAAATTGAATGGCTGTAATTAGTATTATCATGAGTATGGTTAAAATTACACAGGAAAGGGTTCACAGTAAAACCAACTTTATCGGTTTTAAATAAAACGGTTAACTATGTTTAACATCATAGCTTTTGTTCTGTGGTTGGGTGGGTCGATATTAAATTGATCGATCGGGAGATGAACAGTTCAACAATTTTGCAATCACTGGAGGCAATCATGCAAAGAATGCATAGCAGAAACCTGAGAATTAGTACCTGTAATATGTATGTCTAACAACATATACCTACAGTGACAAACCTACATCTATAGAAGCAGTATTATGAAAAGCTCCATCGTACCTCATGAATGTATTCCCACATTTGCAATCATAACGAAACATGATCAAATACTCCATATCAGACACTTTTTCTTGGAGCGACGTATGTAACTAGTATTGACGTATCTATGTATAATAAAGTAGTAGTAGTAGTAGATGAGATATAGGAATATGACTATTTTAAAAATGTTGAGAGATGTGAAATATTTCACCCTAACAGGAGCAAATTATATCACAAGCCCTGAATGTAAATTAATAATAGAGGTACATAAAAACCTAAATCAACCAGCATATAAACACCAGACCAGACGGACGTACAGTCTATGAAAAATGTCTAAAAACGGTCACAAATATAATGAAAAGTATTACTTTAACAATGTATTCTGTACTTGTAACAAGTAGGTATAGAAGTAACAAGGCGGTATGTTGCTCATTGTCGCGCTGGTCACGTTGCGTAGCCGCCGCGTCACCGCGCTTAAAATGTACGCAGCCATCCGCACGCCGGCGACCCAATTCCATCACAGAGGTTGGAACAATCTGATGCATGATCACCGAAATTGCATAAATGAAACAATCACTAAACAATGCAACTAACTGAGATAACAGCGCAATATTAGAATCAAATCTTTCATTGTCCGAGGAGATGTTTACTATAGTGTAACATTATGAATTGTGAAGGGAATTAATTAAAGAATCCAATCCAGCATACAATAAAACTGAGGTAGATAAAGTAAACTCGAAATAAAATAACAGAGCTGAAAAAGAAGAATGCTTAGGCACGCGCCACAGAAAAGGTCACCTCTCTCGTTTTATACTCGTTATAAATATATTTCTTAAAATAAAAATAACACAGTTGCGACCAAATTAACTGGCTACAGTGACAGATCGCTGCGACTGCAATCACAATAAAATTGTAAGTACAACGAAAATTTTAAGAAATCTAGAGG